GTGGTTGTGCCTTTTGCTGTGCCTGAGGGCAGGCAGGTCAGGGCTGGGCACATGGATGTCTGGGGGACCACCACTGCTGACTCCCTCCCCTTTCCCCGGAGCTATAACCAGGCCAATCCATAATCTTATCATGGAGATAATCAGCACCAGTGACAGCATAGGTGAGGCTGCTGAGGATGCTGGGGGAGAGTTCCCAGCCTGTCCTGGCAGCCGGTCCTTGCCAGGGGTGGCTCATAACTCAGCCTCCGAAAGAAGCAGGCAGACATCTCTGCAGGAAACTGCGGGGCTGTGGCTCAGGGCAGCCCAGCCCCGCTGATGGTGGAGTGGAGCTACCTCCCATCAGGCTGTGTCTCCACAGCAGACCCTTGGAGTCAGGAGGTGATTTACAGCGTGTGCAAAGCAGTCAGCTCCATCAGATGCACGGCCTTCAACATTCAATTCAACTCTGACATCTCACCAGAGAAGCAATGGGGACCAGCCAGTGTAAAAGCCCTGCAAAGTTGGACAGAGCCTCACGTTGGGGGGTCTGGGGTCCTCAGTGTTGGTGGGCCTGTCTGCCCATCTGAGCACTGCTCCCTGGGGCTGTGTTTGCAGGCCTCCTGAAGGAGGGCTGTGGGCTCCCCAAGTGAGGTCCTGAGTCTGTGGAACATGCCTGAGGCCACGCTCACAGTGATTTGCGCCTACTTGCACCTCCTTGACCATCCCACTACATTATGAGTGACTGTGCCAAGGTGAGTGTCAAGCACCCTCTGGGCTGTATCAGAAAAGGCCTTTGGACCTGGCCTGGGATTGAAAGATGGCAAATGAGGGGTCTGGGGTTGCATTGTCACCCTACATGGTAACAGGAAGTGAAAGCATCCAGGCCTACAGGACTGGAACCCTATCGAGGGGGTTAGGAGGCTGTTCACTTTCCTCTGGGCCCATGTGGAGAAGCGGAGGGAGTCTAGGGAGTCCCCGGGAGACTCTTGTTCTGTCTGGGCGTCCCCCAGCTCCACCCTTTGATAACCATTTCCTTGGGAGAGCTCAGGAACCTCTTGTGCTCCAGTGAGGCAGGGCCTCCCCTCACAGGATATTGGTAAGGAGGCATTCTGAGAGTCTAGCTAGAATGAGAAGTTAGCACAGTGCCTGACAAGTACTTGTGGGAGCTGTCATCCTCTGTAACCATCACGTGGCCTTGTAGGGTTCAGACTACCTGGCCTGGGGCTTGGCAAGGCTGTTTGGGGGTCAGCTGGTTTAGGCTCCCACTCTCTCCTCAATCAGACAGCGTCTCTGTTTGGTGTTTATTTATGGGTTTAAAAAAACCTAAGATTTCATTTATAGTAGTTTCAAGCTTGTATGTATCTGTATAGATTTTATTAGAAGGAAGAGGGCTTAAGGCAACAACATTTTTGGCTGTGCGTGGTGGCTCATGCCTGTATTCCCAGCATTTTGGGAGGCTGAGGTGGGCGGATCAACTGAGGTCAGGAGTTCGAGACCAGCCTGAACAACATGGAGAAACCCGTCTCTACTAAAAAAATACAAAAAGTAGCCGGGCGTGGTGGTGCATGCCTGTAATCCTAGCTACTCTGAGGCTGAGGCAGGAGAATCGCTTGAACCCGGTAGGCGGAGGTTGCAGTGAGCCGAGATCACGCCATTGCACTCCAGCCTGGGCAAGAAGAGTGAAACTCTGTCTCAAAAAAAAAAAAAAAAAAAAAAAAAGAAAAAGAAAACAACATTTTTAAAAGGTCTCAGTGAGGGCATAGACTTCCATCTCACGAACGCTAATGTTGACCTTCTCTTGCTGCCTTTGTGCAAAGTATACATAGGAAGTGCAGCCAGAGGTGACAAGGCTCAGTGTCTAGAACCGTGCTGCTTGGGCTTGCTTGCTGCCCTGCAGCCAGTTGAACTCTGGGTGTGAGGTCATGCCCATCCTAGATCTACAACCCCACTCCCTCTCCCAGGCCCTGTGTAACCAACACAAGGCAGTGCTAATGAAAAGGCTAGTGATGGGCCTCAAGCACCCCAATACCATCCAGGAAGATCTGAATGCCATCTGTGGCTGGGGCTGCCTGGGGACAGGGGCTGTGGCTGCCTTGGCTTGTCATGGCCCTACCACAGATGCACCCGTCCTGTGCTGCTTCACCAGCAGCCAGCTGTCCATGGCCCTGAGCCTGTCACACCATGCTTGCTACCTCATGCTGCTCTTGTGTGAAAAAATTATCCCGAGATGGCGCTGCTGGATGTTAGTGCTGGAAAGGGGGCAGCACCTTTGTCCTGGGGGATTAGGAACTGACCAGATCCTTCCTGACTGACCCCCAGAACAAGTGGGGGTTGGTGCTGCGTTGAATGATGACCCTCCCCAAAATGTGTTTGCACTGGCTCAAAGAATATATAATGCAAGGGCCTAAAATGAAGACACATGAATCGTGTTATGTGGAGATTAGCTTGCAGCCAGGAAACAGGTGCCTCTCAGGTATCTCATCTTCCCCAGCAAGTGTGGAATGTGTCCATGCCCATGGTGTGATCTGTCCTTCTTAACTTGTACACAACTCCAGGTCAGTTCTGAGTGAAGGACATGCAGATGAGATTTCTCAGGTCATTTGTATGTTTGACATTATGGCTGCTGTTTTTGCTGCCACTAGCCCTAGACCCAACCTGGCTTAAAGTCTAGGCTTTAGGTAAAAAAGGTGGAGGGCTTCCTGTGTCCTGTGATGGGAAGTCAGAGATCTGTGGTAGGGCTGGGGGTTGGGATGCACTTTAGTTTTGTGGCAGGATGAGAGCTGCAGTGATTTTATTAATTGTGATTGGCCTGGCCTGGTTATAGCTCCGGGTGAGGGAGAGAGAGTCAGCAGTGGTGGTCCCCCAGACATCCAGGTGCCCAGCACTGGCCTGCCTGCCCTCAGGCACAGGAAAAGGCACAACCATAGGCCCTGACTTGCCTCCTTACTCCCTAATCCCCAGATGGGAATACTTGGAGGCTACAATCTGAAAGTCTTTTTCTCCTATTTTAACCCCAGCTGCCTAACACGTCATGGAGATAGGATGGGTGAGGGGCTTTAGGGGAACCAGGGCAGAATCATGGGTCCTGGGGGAAAGTTAAAGATACAGGAGTGGTTTTCACCTCTCTGTGGAGCCCAGCTCTCTACCTGGTCATTGCCACACAGCACCTTCTACAGAGACTAGCTCTATGGTGATTGGGAATCCCAACAGCCCCAGGCTGCTCCCTGTCCCCTGCTGCCTGTGCTCCTTCCCTTGCCTGCTGTCAGAGCCCACATGAAGGAGGAGGTTGCCACCCTGTGAGCCTGAGGGAGCTGTGTCTGACTGTGGCTTCTGCCCGGTGTATTGCAAAGAGCTACTTATGGGTATGGTCTGTCCAGATACCTTGTTTCAAGAAGAATGGGTGCAAGCTAGCAAGTGTAGCATCCCCACAACTGATAAATACATTTTTCTTGTTTTTAAACCATCACATCTTTATATGACATTAGAATAAAGTTTTTAAAACCTGCTGCTCCAGTTTCACCTGGGTGGTCTGTAACCCAATCTCGCAATCAAACTGGATTTGATTGTGAGTGCTGTTGTTAGAAATGTTACTAAGAGAGGAATATGTATAAATTAGATCAAATTTAAGGTTATTCTTATAATGCCACTTGAGTGGAAAGCAAGAGGGTGGAGTCACAGGCACTCAGCTGGGGTTTACCTACCTTCCAGTTACTAGACTCATGAGGGTGTGGAACAGGTGAACCTGTCATTGGTGACAAAAGGAAAAAGGCTGGAGTAAAGGCCAGGTTGGGGAGGGGTGCTAGGCTGTGGGGTTAAACCCTGGGCATGTTGGACCTGTGAGGTCCCTGAACATCTAACTAGCTGGGTACCTGCCCTTGTCACATCAGTTGAGGTAAGGGGATTGGGCAGCTCTCTCTAGAAGTCACACTGCTGGGAGAATAGAGGAGTGTCTAAAACTTGCCATCCTAGGGTAGGTTTTAGACCAACCTGGACTCCCTTAGACAGCTAATGAGATGGGAGGAAGGTAGTCCCCCAGGTGAACCTGAGGGACAGAGCCTATGAAGTCAGAGGGAGTGTGTGGAGGTGGCCTGTCCCTATGAGAGGGGGAGTCTAAGGCTCATTACTGCTAGTGGCTGCTGCTCAGCCATCCCTCTGCAGAAGAGGCAGGTCCTCGGCCATATATATAGTTCAGTGCCTTTTGGAGTGTTTAGAGAGTCCTTCATGTTTTAGGAATTCTAAAAGCAACAACAACAACAACAAATTCCAATTCTAATGTCTGTTATTTTTCCCGGAGCCAACTGGAAAAAAAATGTCCTTCACCTCAAAGTCTTAAAGGACACCAAAGGATAGCCATCAGTGTCTTGGCCATTGAAGCTTCATGTATGCTCTCTGCCACCAATTTGATTTGCAGCCTCATGGTTGTGTTGTACTAAATATACTTTCCTCTAGCCTTGTCCACATATATAGGTGTATGTGTAAATATATGTGTATGTGTATGTGTGTGTGTGAATATATCTTAGCCTTTCTAAGATGAGCATATTGCCTGGGCGTGGTGGCTCACGCCTGTAATCCCAGCACTTTGGGAGGCTGAGGCAGGCCGATCACTTGAAGTCAGGAGTTCAAAACCAGCCTGGCCAACATGGCAAAACCCTGTCTCTACTAAAAATACAAAAAAGTTAGCCGGGGGTGGTGGCAGGTGCCTGTAATCCCAGCTACTCAGGAGGCTGAGGTAGGAGAATAGCTTGAATCTGGGAGGCGGAGGTTGGAATGAGCCGAGATCCAGCCACTGCACTCCAGCCTGGGTAACAGTGAGACTCCGTCTCAAAAAAAAAAAAAAAAAAAAAAAAGCACATTTGGGCAACATAATTCCTGCTTATCCGTTCCCAGCCCCCGCTGCCCCTCCATTTCTAATAGCCATCCCACGTTGTGGTCAGCAGTGTGGTACAGCATGCTGAGAGGGGAGCTCAGGGATGGGACAGGGGTCTTTCCTGCATTATCCAAATGATTAGAGAGTTGTTAAAAAAGGTGTCCAGTTGTTCTACTTTATACTTTTAAATAGCGAATAAGATGCATTATACAAAGAGACCCAGGTAAGGGAAAGAGCAAGTGCATTTCAAGGCTCAGCTCACTTCTTAAGTAGCTGTGATACTCAGGGCGTGTGACTCCGCCTACAGGGGCCTGTTTCCCTGTCCATAAAGCGCACTAATGCTGGGGACGGTGGGTGTAGGGGAGGGTCCTGGAGCCTTATTCAATCTGTGGCGCCAGTGTAGGAACCGTCCAGCGACGCAGTTGGGGAGGAGGGCGTGGCTTCCGGCGTTTGGCTGGGCCTCTGTCTCGGGCTCGGGCCGGAGCCTGGGATCCATCTCTCCTCTTCCGCGTGTTGCCCCTCGGGAGCCCTCGGTGACTTTGTCACAGCCTCTGTTGCCGTGAGATCTGCAGGTACTGGAAGATGCATAGCTAAGATGCCAGGACATCCTGGAAACTGGGAAATGGTGAGTATGCGGGGTTGGGCATCCCAAGAGGGGAGAGTGGGCTGGTTGAAACCGGCGGAACCGGCCTCCCCACGGTCAGCTCCCGGCTCCGCCGACCTGATTCCCAGCTGGCGCAGCTCCGCCCTCAGCCCCTTCGGCGGGTGGGTGGGGGGCCCAAGATGGAGGCGGGGTCAGCGAACTTTGACCCTTAGCGTCCCCTTCCCGCGCCGCGACCTGCCTGAAGCTCCCTGGGCAGCGGTGCACCCGCATCCCCTTCTCTCTCCCAGATTGTTCAGGGATGACAGGCGGGTTATCAGAGCAGAATCCCCACTCGGTGGGTGCGTGGGAGGAGCTGCGGCCAGTGGGGTCTCCAGTGTCTGCTGTTAAAAAAATTTTTTTTTTTTTTTTTTTTTTGAGATGAAGTCTCACTCTGTCACCCAGGCTGGAGTGGTGTGGCGCGATCTTGGCTCACTGCAACCTCCACCTCCCAGGTTCAAGCAGGAGGACATTGTCCAGTGCCTCCTGGGAAGAAGGACATTGAGTAATTTAATGGGCAGCATGGGGATGGGAGAATGTTTTGAGGGTTACCATGGTCTGACTTGACAGTTAAGTCAGACATGTTTGTGTTTCCATCAGCACTGCCACTCCCTGAGTTTGTCACCTTGGAAAGACTTTTTCACTTATTTCCACTTCAATTTTTCGATAACTGTGAATTATGTTTCATCAGTAGAGCTGAAATTTTTTTTATAAAGTCAAAGACCATGAAGGGTGAATTTCAGAAAAATCTAGTCGTATGTTTTCTTTGTTAAAAATGTTTCTTTATCTTCATCAGAGTGATTTTAGTAAGTAAATTTCTTTCTGTTCTTTTTGGGTGGTGATTTCAAATAGAATTCCAAGGCATTGCTTTGGGAATGCTACAAGGGAAAAGAAATAGGAAAAATTTCTTTTTCATTATGGCTATAGAAAGTGAATACATTTCCACAAGAAAATATGAAAGATTAATTGATGAAGTGCATATATTTGTCAAAACATCAGCTCCCCTTTTTTGCAGGGTCTAAAATTTGTAACAGTGGATATCTCTGTTCTGTATTCTGTTGTCTAAATGCCCAAGTTTAATGTTAAATTTTATGAGATAGAACTTGGCACCTTCTGGAAATGTTCACATATGGTTTATTAAACTATTTATCATGAAAGTATGTAAGTGACATGTTTAATGTCTGAAAGAGATAGAGACTTCAGCTTTTCCTGTTGAAGTATAAAATTTAAGTGCCTTACTATTTCCTTACAATATTCTATAAACACGGTGTTTGAGTGATTTTGCTGTTTTCTTTAAACACTGGGCATTAGTTTTAAACTAACGTTAGGCAGAAAAGGGCTTTCTTTCATAAGGAGGAGCAAACTACTAGAAGGTCAGAAAAAAAATGTGGGACGAGGAGGACGGGATAAAACATGGTGAAATCAGATCCTAGATCAGAGAATGTTTTACCTAGACGTCAGCCTGTTCTTAAGAGGGACATAAGGAGGGGTTTTAAGGTTGGGTTGAAGTTTGGGGTCTGGGGAAGGAAAGAAAATTAAGAAAAGTTTGGTTCACAAGTATTTTGTTCTGTCCACTAGAGACAAACTTATTTGTTTATGAGACAAAAAAAAATAAAATAAAATAAATGGGAATTTAGAGAGTCTCTGGCTTTGGGATATCAAAAACAGGAAGGGTGTTTCTTAGCCGTAAGATGCTCTTGAAAAACACAAATGATGGGGGATTTCTTTAATCACAGCTGTTATCTACCCACCCCATCTTCTCCTACCACTTTTCCTTGCCTTGTACTTTTTTTTCATTTGGCTCTTCTTGATTTGTACCTTTTATAATAAACTGGTAAATCCAAGTATAGTATTTTGCTGAGTTCTGTGAATAGTTGTATCAAGTTATTGAACTTGAGAAGGAGGTTATGGGAGCCCCCAATTTATATGGGAACTCTCTCTTCCTCCACCCCTCTAACAGGCCCCAGTGTATGTGGTTCCCCTTCCTGTGTCCATGTGTTCTTATTGTTCATCTCCCAATTATAAGTGAGAACATGCAGTGTTTGGTTTTGTGTTCCTGCATATTAGTTTGCTGAAGATAATGGCTTTCAGCTCCATCCATGTTCCTGCAAAGAACATGATCTTGTTCCTTTTTATGGCTGCATCGTATTTCATAGTGTATAAAGCAATTGCAACTGAAGCAAAAATTGACAAATGAGATCTAAATAAACTAAAGTGCTTCTGCACAGCAACAGAAACTATCATCAGGATGAACAAACAACCTAGAGAAGGGGAGAAAATTTTTGCAATCTCTCCATCTGATAAAGGTCTGATATCCAGAATCTACCAGGAACTTAAACAAATTTACAGGAAACAAACAACCTCATTAGAAAGTGGGCAAAGAACATGGAGAGACACTTTTCAGAAGAAGACATTTATATGGCCAACACATGTGAAAAAATAGTTCAACATTAGTGATTATTAGTGAAATGCAAATCAAAACTGCAATGAGATAACATCTCATGCCAGTCAAAATGGCGTTATTAAGAAGTCAAGAAACAGCAGGTGTTGGTGAGGCTGTGGAGAAATAGGAATGCTTTTACACTGTTGATGGGAATGTAAATAAATTCAACCATTGTGGAAGAGAGTGTAGCTATTCCTCAAAGACCTAGAATCAGAAATAACATTTGACCCAGTGATCCCATTACTGGGTACATACCCAAAGGAATATAAATGATTCTATTATAAAGATACATGCATGTGTATGTTCATTTAGGACTATTCACAATAGCAAAGACATGGAATCAACCCAAATGCCTATCAGTGATAGACGGAACAAAGAAAATGTGGTACTATTTCATTTATTTTCTTCTTTTTACCTGATTGCTGTAGCTTGACTTCTTGGTACTATGTTGAACAGAAGTGGTGAGATTTGATATGCTTGTCTTCTTTCTGATACTAGAGGAATAATTTGTTGCATTTCTCTCTTGAGTATAATGGCATCTGAGGCCTTAATATATATGGCCTTTATTGTGTTATAATGCATGCTTTTATATGTACATTGTTGGGAGTTTTTATCATAGAAGTGTATTAAGTTTTGTCAAATGCTTTTAATAATTTTTTTGAGATAATTATATAATTTTCATTAGTCATTTTGTTATTGTAGTATATTATTTTTAATGATTTGTGTATGTTGAAACATTCTTGCATCCTGGGGATGAGTCCCACTTGATCATAGTGTATGATCCTTTTAATATGTTGTTGAATTCAGTGTCTAGTATTTTGTTGAGAACTTTTTCTGTATCTTCAAAGGGATATTTGCTTATAATTTTCTTTTCTTGTAGTGTCCTTCACTGGCTTCAGTATGAGGGTACTAATAGCCACCTCAAGTGAGTTTGTAAGTGTTTTTTCTCTTCCATTTTTGGAAGAGTTTGAGAAGGACTGACATTAGTTCTCCCTTAAATGTGTGATGCAGTTCACCCATGCAGTCATTTGGTCATGGGATTTTTAAAAATTGGAGATAGTTGGTTACTGCTTCGATCTCCTTCCTCATTATTGATCTATTCAGTATTTCTATTTCTTTATAATTTAATCTTGGTGGGTTTGTTTCTAATAATTATTTCTTGAGTTATCAAATTTGTTGTCATATAATTGCTCATAGTAGTCTCTTACTATTTTTTGCATTTCTGTGGGATCTGTTGAAATAACTTAATTTTTTATTTATAACTTTTTTAAAGTCCTCTCTCTTTTTTTCCTTGGATTAATATAGCCAAAAAGTTTGTCAATTTTGTTTTTTTAAAAAAACTCAGCTCAATTAAAAAAATTTTTCTATTATCTTTCTAGTCTCTGTTTACTTTCTTTTTTCTCTAATTCTTAACATTTTCATAATTAAGCTAACATTGGAATTATTTTGGTCTTCTTGTTCAAGGTTTTTGGGAGTTAAAGTTAGGTTGTTTATTTAAATGTATTTTTTTAATTAGTGTAGGAGTTTATTATTATAAACTTCTGTCTTAGAACTGCTTTTGTTGTATCCCAGAAGTTTTGGATCCTTGTGTGCTCAATTTTATTTGTGTTGGGATTCTTTCCTATTTCCCTTTTGATTTCTTCTTTGACCCCCATTGGTTGTTTATGAGCATGTTGTTTAATATCCACATATTTGTGAGTTTTCCAATTTTCTTCTTGCTATTGGTTTCTAGTTTTATACCATCAGAGTCAGAATAAAAGCTTGACATAATTTTAACCTTCTTAAATTTGAAAAGCTTGTTTTTAATTTTTTGTTTAATATATAATCTCTCCTGGAGAATATTTTATGTATTTTTGAGGTAAATGTGTATTCTTATACTGTTAGGTGAAATGTTATGTTTATATCTATTTAGTGTATAGTGTTACACAAGCACACTTTTTTTTTTTAAGATTTGTTTGAATAATCTGTCTGTTGTTTCAAGTAGGATATTAAAGTTTTCTATTATTGTATTCCTATCTACTTCTCCCTACAGTTCTGTCCGTATTTGCTTTATATATTTAGAAGCTCCAGTGTTGGGAGCATATATAAATATGTTTTTTTTTTTAGACAGAGTCTTCCTGTGTCACCCAGAATGTAGTGCAGTGGTGTGATCTTGGCTCATTGCAATCTCTGTCTCCTGGGTTCCAGCAATTCTCCTGCTTCCTGCTTCCGCCTCCCGAGTAGCTGGGACTACTGGTGTGCACTGCCATGCCTGACTATTTTTTGTGTTTTTAGTAGAGACAGGGTTTTGCGTGTTGGCCAGGCAGGTCTCAAACTCCTGACCTTGGCCTCCCAAAATGCTGGAATTACAGGCATGAGCCACCACACCTGACCAAGCATATATATGTTTAATTGCAATATCCTCTTGACAAATTAGCCTCTTTATTATTATATGGAGAACTCATTTGACTGTTGTGATAGATGTTGCCAGGAGGTCTATTTTGTCTAATTTAAGCATAACTACCAGTGCACTTCTTTGGTTATTACTTGCACGGAGTATCGTTTTCCATCTTTTCACTTATAGATGGTTGTCCTTATAGCAAATGCTAGTCTCTTGTAAGCAGCATATCATTTTGTCTTTTAAAAATTTATTCATTCTGTTTTAGTCTATTTTGTGCTGCTATACCAGAACACCACAGACTAGGTAATTTATAAAGAGTAAAAGTTTATTT